ACTGCTACTGATACGCACTGATTTCGAAGTGATTGGGCTCTTCGCACTGCGAACTGTAACCGTCAAACTCCAACAGAGCACAACGCAATTGCGCTGTCGACGGTTTCTCAAATTTTCAACATTGTTCAAGCAGCGTTTAAACATAAACTGAGTGTGCCTTCACTTTTGGGGGGGGGGGTTACGGGTAGATTCTGCAGAAGCTTCGCTTTCACGACAGTGACCGAGAAGTGTTCAGGAATAGTGTGCCGAGCAGATCCCCTACTTCATTAACCCTTTGACGACAATGCGGATTTGCACGTAGCGTGCTCGTGGGACCACGCCTCTTTTTGGCGCGCCCAACTCTCGCTGTACCTTGGGCAAAATTGTCCCTAAAGCAGTTTTTCGGTCGTATTTTTAACCTTAGAGACATACTTGATATCACTGCTGTTCAGAACTTTCATATTACATGTTTTTGGAAAGAGAATAAGGAGTTTGGAAGGTGAACTTGGATTCCGAAGTAGAATTTTTAATAATAATTTAATAAAGTTCAAGCCCTCGCTGTGTCTGAAGACTATGGGTGACATTCGTTTTTGACGCTTGCACCATTTTGCGCCCATTTTTTGCTATTAGGTTGTCTCATAAGTAGTGGCGCATTTTTTCAAACGGAAATTTTTCTTGTGAACCTCTAATGTTTTACAATGTTTCATATACCATTCGATAGGAAATTATCTGCTCTACAAGAAGGTATGTACCCTTTTTTTGATTGTTGCAAATTGTTTGAGTTTTAGGCATGCAAAGTGGGAGCTTCAGACGACGAATTTTTGCCAAACCGACAGCTGACCTAAACTTTATACTTCCCTAGAAGAAATCAATCAATAATGTAACTATAACTTACTCATAACCTCTACTAAACATTCCACATTTAGGTTCCCTAAAAGCTTGTCTCGTTTAATTTTGAGATTTAGTTATTCCAGTGCAACTCGGTGGTTGCCTGTCAACCCATAGGGCTTCCTTCAGACTGATATTTTCCATTCCAATTCCTCAGTATTGACGCTACTTTATACACCTCTAGGAAGCGTTTCTTCTGCTCTACTTACCTCATGCAGAATTTGGTTTTGATCTCAATCCTGATCGAGTTTCAGCATAGAAAATGGTGGTGTGTCAAGTCGACGAAAAGGAAGCAACGCTCTTGTCAAAAAAAAACAACAAGAAACCTTCTACTGTTTCACCTTCAACCAAGGATCGAGTGCCACAAAAGCCGGCAGGCAACCACCGAGTTGCACTGGAATAACTAAATCTCAAAATTAAACGAGACAAGCTTTTAGGGAACCTAAATGTGGAATGTTTAGTAGAGGTTATGAGTAAGTTATAGTCACATATTATTGATTGATTTCTTCTAGGGAAGTATAAAGTTTAGGTCAGCTGTCGGTTTGGCGAAAATTCGTCGCCCGGACCTCCCACTTTGCATGCCTGAAACTCAAACAATTTGCAACAATCAAAAAAGGGTACATACCTTCTTGTAGAGCAGATAATTTTTCCTATCGAATGGTATCCACACACCATTGTAAAACATCAATCCTCACAGAAAATTTTCCAACGTTGAAAAAAATGCGTCACTACTATTCGATCACACACCAATAAGCTAAGCCTCTCGCCCCTCCGTTGATCCATATCGGGTTAACCCCTGTTGGAAAGAGGGCGGAGCATGAGTGAGCCACTCACCCTGATATCACACACTTCAACTTTTGTCTTATGCTGCGTGGTTTACCCACCTCGGAATCCTCCTTCTTCCAACAAGCTTAGTCCCAGGCAGAATGTGTAAGTGAGAGAGCCCAGAAGAGCAGAAAATACGCGTTAAACAGCGCCACTTCCAAAAACGAATGTCATGTTCGTGATCAGGACACCAAGTAACCCCTATGTACAAGTTTACACCTAATTTCGTGAAAACAGCCGTCGTGACATGGCGGTGGCCAATGGCGCCCAGCATCCAAAATGCGTGTCATATTCGAAATCAGGGCATCGACTTACCTCTATGTGCAAAGTTTTCGATAGGAAAAATCAAATTGAGATTTGCGCTAGCACTAGATCAGTGGAGAGATAATGCCAAAATTCTTATATAAAGTACTCTCATTGAAGATTTCCGTAAGAACCGAGCTGCCTAAAAAGAGGCTATCTATGAACTGCTTCTAATCACTGCGGGATGTCGAAGAATATATTTAAATGCCAAACAAAAAAATTCCAGTGGCATCGTGTGCCTCGCCGCTTTCCACGCGGAGGACAGAGTAGCGCTCACCGGTGTGTGCCATTGTCGCCAAAATGTTAAGTACGACTGAAAATCACTCCCCTAATTCTCCGATAGATTGGAAATAATCTTCGAGTATGGACCGCCTATGCAGACGAAAGGTCTGCTCCTACCTACTGACTCAAATTGCAACTCCCCTTATAACAGCGATTCTAGTAATCTCCAGAAACGAAAATGATGGGGAATACCTCCTTGCTACATGCGATGCGTTTGCCAAAGCCTGGACATTTGTGTGGACGCTAGAGGCGATCATTTCAAAAACGCGAATACCTTCTGGATCGTCTTCTTTCCTGATAAATGAAATTCATGGTTAGAACTGATATCTGAGGCTTAGGTACAAAATTCGAATGAACTATTGGTGCACCATTAATTTTGCCCCTGTATACTCTCACGCTCCCCATCATTCGCATCATCTCATCCTGTCAGCTTTACACTCTCCACCACGCTATAGCACCCTCAAGCAGGTGAAATCGTATGAGAAACGACGGCGCCTCCCTCTCCATCTCGGTCTACCTCCCATACGGCCCCCTCTTTACGCACCATCCAGTTCACAATAAAAGGTAATTTTCCGACGTACAATATGGAAAGGCAGCGCCGCTGCCGACGCGAATGTTCATGAGTTCAAATCCGAATCGCGCCACTTCGCACCAAGGCTAGCCTTCCCGAGAGCGCGACCTGAAAACCGACCTAACTTCCTGTGTAACCGGGAAACCAAAAATAAGCAACTGGGCCAAGACCTCTACTGACGAAACTGTTTAAACAGTCTCCGCCGCTCAGTATAAGCGGCTCCTAAACTACACACGTCGCGTCCGCGCGTGTCCACGCGCTAGTCTCTGGAAAATCTCCAGATGTAGCCCGTTACTGGAAGTTCCGAAGGTACCATTGTAAATTCACGCACACTGACATCTAGTTCTACAGCAGTTCCGGGCTTTTTTTCAAATACGTCCTATCTCAAGAGATCGAACAGAGTCGAGGAAACTGAAATTTGCATGCGGAGTTTTTACTATTTAGAGCACTGTAACTTTCTTCATTGGCAATCGTTTGAAAGAGATCAATATTGTGCAGAACTAAAAATATTTCGCTTCGACAACCATTGCGTTTGGTTCGCAAGCATTCTTCAAGTTCGCGAGAATTTGCAGTCGAGAAAATGTCGAGGAAATCTTCTAACCCATCGAAAAACTCTACTTGCTTTCTCGCCGTCAGCACAGAACCTTCTTTGAACATCTTCAAAATGCTGTATGGGGATGTCATCTCAATGAATTAAATAGGAAATGATACATTCGGCGCAAATTCATTCCCTCCTGGTATGCACCATGCAGTGACCACACTCGGAGTCGTTTGAAAGGTGTTTTACCTACACGACAACTTCTGTGCTAAGCTGGGATGTTTCTAGCCTCAAAGTTAATCCAAACGCTCTCCTGCCTAATAGTATACAAGGAGGGGCAAACAAGTCACTTGGCCCATGTGCATACATCAAACTTTCCATCGCAAAGGATGCCGCAGCTTGGGAGTTATATGCAATATTCCTTAATATCGCTGCTTTTTAGTAATATACGTCATCTGTCATCACCGTCGAGCTCAAGGAGGCCTACCGTAATTGCTTCATTCTGAAGCTGCTACATAAGTTCTTCACTCGGATAACTGGTGAATGACTTCTTAGGGACACTAGCTCTGAAGTACGCAAAATGGCTTTTGACCAGCGTTTCAGAGACGTCGTAAATCGTTTATGGTTTCCTTGACGACCTCGTTGAGCTCGTACCGCGAACCATGTTTCCGTGGGAAAATCTTCTGATGTCGCCGGTGTAGAAAGCCCCTATGTGATTTTTCTGATAGAATAGAATGTGCTTTTCAATATGCAATTGAGCTCATTTGGTTTGGTTCCGGTAAAGTTTAATTAATTCTGTTTTGAATGTGAATCAGAGTGACTTTCTTTTTTTGCCCCCCCCCCCCCCCCTCGCCTATTACCATTCCTTATCTACGCCCGCTATCCTTCCGACCATGTTTCCGATGCAACATGACGCTATTGGTGCGCCTGCAGTATTTCCTTCGCTATGCCGTCTCCAATATCCCGTGGAATTTCTACGAAATGCTGTTCCTCCACTAGTTTCTCATTTTTAATTTAGAGTGAACACTCGCTGCCCATTCCCTACGTTTCTTCTGCAGGACGGGTTTCTTCTCTATGTCTTCGTTCTAATCCACTACGAACAAATCAGCAACCACCTTCCATTTGAATTTAATCCAGACATGTAAGATATCATTTGCATTACGCTAACCAAAACACTTGTGAAATTAATGATGACAGCGAATGAGTGGCAGCAGCACCGTTGTGTCCTGTTGATGAACCTTGTGCTTACGATCCCCTCCCCTCTCATCGGAGCAAATACGACCCCCTCTCGCTTTCCTCGACCATTATTCACCCTGTCACAAGATCACCTCGACAATCCACTCGGGTAGCGAGTTTGAATCATGAGACTGGCGCGCCATTGAGGCTGGATACAGAAAACATTCCGCATTCCACGTCTTTTTATTGTTCTTGCACATGCTAGTGTGATAATCAAATAACATCAAGGTTCTGTAGTTTAAAGTGTCGTGGAATTGCTAACTAAAAGTTGTTATAAGGTTATAGCTGTCTCGATAATAAGTCATCAACTGATAATGTGACCCCCCCCCTTAGGTACATTAACCACCACTGATTGCAGATGTGGATTTGGTGTCATTCATGAAGACATTGGCCCGTTATGCACTTCTGGGTATTGGTATATTGTTGTATGGATGGTTGTTCCATAGTGATTTCTCTGAAAAAGACTTAGAAGAAGAAGATGCTCCGTTGTCGCTTCAAGGAAGCTTGGAGTTTGAAGATGAACCCATCATCGAGGAAGGGTAGGTTATAGCGTAATTCTGGACTCTTGCGAAATGATGTATAAATCCTTAATACCGGCAACATAAGTGGCCTCTTTCAGGCCAGCAGAATGTTCAATGCATTCATGCTTTGATTACACCAAGTGTACTTCTAAACTGAAGGTTTACGTTTACCCCGATGTCGATGAGTTGCCGCCGTCGGAAGTTTATCGGAAGATTCTCACTGCGGTTCGGGAAAGGTACGATTGATATGTGAATGCCGATACAAAAAATTAGCCGAAGAAAGTAGCCATCTTCTTCCAGCCAATACTTCGTTTCTGATCCTAAGGATGCGTGCCTATTTATTGTTAGTGTGGATACGATTGATAGAGATAAAATTAGGTGAGCATCATAAGGGGTATCTTTGTTTGTATTATTTTGCGTTATTGCTGCAGGGACTGAAGTGATGCATCGTCTAAATAGCAAAGTAAATCTGATAAACTGAAGGACTTGTACTCCTTTTTAGCGAGAATTACGTACGAGACGTTGATCGTTACATAAGTAATCTTCCTAATGAAGTATGGAACGACGGTGTCAACCACATTATTTTTAATTTGTACCATGGTACGTTTCCTGATTACTCGGACCACAATCTGGGCTTTGCGACCAAGAAAGCTATGATTGCTCGTGCCTCTCCTAGCTTGCAGGTAAAACTTGCATTTCATTACTATATGTGTTGGTAAAAATATTCTTCCAGAATTACCGCTTCGATTTCGATGTCTCCTTTCCTCTGTTTCACAAAGAGCATCCATTACGTAGCGCTTTCGAGGTACTGTTAAATTTTTAAGTCCGATTTGCATTCATTGCTATGTCTTCAGCTGCAACTTAAATTTTGCTGTTTTGATTTGAGTTTCGTAAAGGAAAATACGTGAATTCCGCATAGTGCCAAGTTGTTCTGCAGGTTTTTATTTGATTCGCTCTCATTTTCAGCAAGATGTTTCATTCAAGACACGAGACCAATACATAGTGTCGTTCAAAGGCAAGCGGTACGTGTACGGTGGGTTTGAACGTCCTACAACTTGTTTCAATTGTCATCGGTCGTTCATAGCAATTTCAGGCATCGGTTCGGAGACTCGAGATTCGTTACATCATTTGCATAACGGTGAAACAGTAGCAATGGTGACAACTTGTCGACATAACAATGACTGGAAGGTTTGTGCTATGTCGTCTTGTGATGTACTGTACACAAGCTGCTCACGAGTAACGGTTGAGAACCGTGAGAAAAGAACCATATGCTCTAACTAAAGGAAAAGCTTGAGAGGAATCCTTTTTATCCGAATAAAAGCGAAGAGTTCCGATTACGTGACTACTTGAACTCTCCCCTATGTTCTCTGCCGAGAAAGGCCAGAGCACAGACGATTAGAGAACGGTGCCTGGCTCGGCTTCAAATCCCAACCTCTAGGACTAAGCCTTGAAGGGGGACTCCGTAGTGGATGAGCCAATTATATTGTGGCAAAGTTTGAATACATAAGATCACAGTAATCATAAAGCGCTGGTTAAGCGAGAGAGCGCAGGCGAGAGCGTCAAATCGAGGCGGTTTAAAGGCCTGAGTTCAAGTTGTCCGTAGACCGTGCTCAATGGAAGTTCCTGAGCAAAATATTCCTCAGATGTCTCCTATAAGCAATCAGGCCTTCCTTCACTGCCTAAACCGTCGGAATATGACGTCATCTGCCCTCACCGTCGAGCTCAAAGAGGCCTACCGTAATCGCTCCTAGTCTGAAGCTGCTACATATCCTTAGTTGGTCAGCTGATGGATAGCTTCCTAGAGACAGTAGCTTTGGCCATGTAGGACCCCGTCGACGACCATTTCGGATGACGTTGTAATGATCCACCACATTGACTTTATGCACAATGTTTCTATGGCAAATTCGTTTGATGCCGTCGGTGTACAAGGCTATTACGTGGAATGTGCTCTTCAGTTTCAGTTGGGAGCGTTCGTTTTGATTGAGTAAAGTGATTGGCAGAAGTGACGGAGTGAAAAAAGCTTTTTCTGATTGCACCGTATAGTAAAACTATTTTGAGCGCAGGTCTTCTGTCATTTATCGGTCTATTTGAACCAAGGAGTGTTCAAACCCAAGCGCACAATTTTTTGGTTATGGCTTGCAATTGACTTTGCCTCGGACTATTTCCATCTTTCAGGCCCATCAAGATGCAAGATGTGAAAGCGATAACGAAGCATATGACAAGTACGTGTACTTGATTTCTCCTTTCACTCCAGTCTGCGTTATATGTGCACTGTTGCTTTCAGGTGGGATTACGAAATGATGATGGCAAATTCGACTTTCTGTCTGACACCTCGTGGAAGGCGTCTGGGATCGTTCAGGTGTGTAAGACATTGATTTTCAGGATGACTTATTTGAGTTACTATGAGTTTGGGTAGTAGGGCACAAATAGTAAATACGTGACGTGGTTGGAGCAGTATGACATCGTTCTTCATTCGGTACTGCGCGCAAATAGATGCAGTGAGACCAAAGAGATTCTGCATCAGCATCTCTTTAAGAAGGGAATCAGAAACGAATGTAGCGTTACAAATTGTTCACGAGCTATCGAAGTTTATGGCGAACTCAACCATAAGCTTTTGTGGTTTTTGGTTATTTAACTAATTCTGATGTTTTCCTTGTCGTGTGACGAGAAGGAGGTAAAGCGTTATGTGCTTCTTGCTGCGATTTGTTGTAGATATTTGTTAAGATTATCTGAAAGAAGTCATTTGTGGCCTACTATTTCGTGGTTGCTATGCATTCGGTAGATTTGTGGAATTGAGCTGTCGTTGGGAAGATATTACTTTACGGTCAGCGGCGTTCACGTGGATTTCGCTAATGAAAGCTTCTAACCATACCGCCTTCGTGCCTTAATGTCATTTTTTGAAATATTGAGCTGTCATTTAGGTTTCTCGAAGCCTTGCGATTAGGATGTATACCTGTTGTACTGTCGGATGACTGGGTTCTACCTTTCGATGAAATTATTGACTGGTCTGCCGCCGCTGTCATTGTCCCCGAAGACAATGTGCTTTTAGTGAGTTGATCAAAAATTGCGCGACTTAACAAGTTCAACGCTTTGAATACTTATTTAAGAAATCCTCCAGGTTCCTGATATCTTGCACACATATACGCCTGAACGAATTTTCCAAATGAAACAGCGTGGATTCTTCATTTACTACCGATATTTCAGCAGCGTTGAGAAGATTGCCATAACGGCCTTAGAGGTAAGATTGCCAAATTGCTCATTGTCGTACTGCAAACAACGCTTTTGTTTCATTGCCATTTCTTCAAGATCGTATGGGAGAGAATTCGATTGTCCGAAGGTCTGGATCATAGAAATTGGAACCATTTTCACCTTCATACTCCATCTGCTTTGCGAGAAGTTACCCTTGTCATCAAAGCAGCAGAAAAGCCTTCGTCTCGTTTGCAGAAAACAGTATCAACTGTGGCTGCTTTGGATGGCCTAGCCAAGGTAAAGTCTTATAATTTGACTCAAATTAGAGAAAAATATGCTAAATTGGTCAACTTTTTTCGGTGCGTGTCGCGCATTAGTCATCAAGAAATTGCACGAGTAGTTACATGAGAGGGTGCAATATAACAGTGATTGTTTTGTTCTCGACGACCTACTCAGCTTTCTCAACTGAAAGTATTGGGGTTTTGTTAACTCAATATTGAATGCTTAACTTTTTAGTTGGATTCCAGCAAGCTACTGCCACTTGAATGCTATAAGAAAGCACATTTCTTGTTCTATCTAGCTGTATTGTCATTTTTACGCTTACTAACTTCTCCCTCTGTCTGATGGTCTTAAATGCAGCAGTTCGAAGGGGGAGCTCGGAGGATTCTCTGCTTCCACCTCAATTAAGGTGGGAAAGCAAGTAGCGGTATCTACTGTGCATTCAGTCTCGAATCTTTAATCAATTTGGATCACGTCATAGTTCATTGGTTTTCTCGGAAAACACAGTAGCTGGTGGTAAAAGGGAAGCACGAAGTTTAGATGGAAGTTTTGACTGAATAAGATGTTTATAAGTGTTGGGAAGCCTTCTTCTGAGTTAGGCTGGACTGATTTGTGATTTCAAAATGTACGGAGGGGGCTCAAAAGTCTAAATAAGTCGACAAGGGTGAACCACAAATCGTGGTCCGAAGGTTTGTGTGCTTTTCTTCCTCCCTCTTCTGTCTGATGAGAACGCCCATCACTCGATTGGATTCTGTGCAGTGTAAAATGAATTCTTTGCACTAAGCGAGGAACATTGGCTGAATAGTGTGGTCACGAATGTGGGCAACGAGACGTCACCAAGCACACTGCACTATGACAAGTTATGGTGACTGCCACTTATGCAACTGCCTGTAATGGCCTCTTCAAAGGAAATGTTTAGACCGCCGTCACACTCGGCGACGGGCAAGCGATCGCGATCGCTCCATCGCTTGTCCGTCGCCGAGTGTGATGGCGGTCTTAGAAACTCAACATGATGGAGGAACGACTTTCGTTTTGCCTACAAAATCTCAACATCTTGAACAATCAAATTGATTGAAAGCGTTTCCTGTGAGCAGAGAAATTAGAATCGTAACAATATTTTACGATCGAAAAGTTTTGTTTGTCGAAATATGCACGCTTGTAGCCTAGGCCAAGATCGGAAGGAATTTTTGAAAAATCCACCCACTGTAAGCCGTTATGAAGTGAGAAGTTCATGGCTGTGTCACAACTCGGTTTAACGGCTCATTGTTTGAAAAAAATGAACAAATTACCAACCAGAACCAATGATTACCAATCAAGAACCCATCTCGTTCCTCACCTTACTTCAACCCAGACCATTCCGTTCTTTATTACACGCGCTAGGTCAAAAATGGGAAAGTTTATAACTCTGCCGTTCTGATTGTCTTTGATGCGACTGTTTTCATGAGTTTGTAAAACCTGTTTTCATTTCAGGTTGTCGTTTTGTGGCCACGAAAGCGCGGAGTTCCTCCTATAGGGGCAGACTTCGGAGTGAAGACTGCCCTAGTGTTTATCGAAGTTTTTGATCCGGTACGTGATCTTCAGCCTTACGTCATGTATTTTGGAAGCAATGCAGGAGACCTTACTAGTTGTGGTTTCCGTGTATGCCATGGAGTTGTGTTGTAAGGGTTACCGAGTTTCAACCGAAGCACTTTGCGTCATAGGAGATCAATCCGGAATTTCATGCTGTTCGGAGAAGTGCTAATCATTACACCTTTGAAACCATATTTTACCTCAACCAGCTCCCAGTTCTCTTTGCCGTGATACTTACCACTCACACTTACAACGTGATAGCCTCTGAGTATTAGTGAACCGTAAAACTGAAAACTAAATATCACAGTTTTTAATTTGGGTTTTGTTAACTGTATCTTTCTGCAAATCACGATGCGATTGTAATCACATTGTGCATCGGTTGGAGCCAGGAGAGATGGGCCCATTTCCCGAGAGGATGGACGTGGCCGGCAACATAGCGAGCCGCTGAATGTTGTGTAGATACTGGCCTAGAAGGTTCGAGAATCTCTTCCAAAGCACGCGGTGGGTCTGCAAGCGGTTTATGTTTAGAAGTGAATAAAAACACGAATGAATCATACAGAAGACATTATTAACGGGTTACAAGCTCGAGCAATAGAAGAATCAGCACCACTCTTAGATGAGAAACTGCAGTTGATCTGAATTTTTGACTATGTTTAAACCAAAACTGCTCACTTTGTTCGAAGAAGAGTCCCCGATCTTCCTTATTCTAAGGAACTGAGACCACTTGGGCAGTAGTAGGCAGATGTCGGAAACGAGGCGTTACTTGGACAAATTTTCAAATCCCTTGTCGACTACGTCTTGTACAGGTGGTCATGTTGATGGAGGCGGTAGAGTTGGGGACGGGACGAAAACAGCGCGAAGAGAGGAAAGCTGCGTATGGCGGTTTTTGCGGAGGGCTTAATCCGACTCATGCGAAGATTTAGCATGGATTATAGTAAATTTAGTTTAATCTGAAAATGTTTGTGTGTACTAAAGAGTCCACGTTGACATAGTTCTGGTTAAGTGGACAAAAAACTTCAATTCGGATTAATATGTTGTTGTTTCAAAACTTATTAAATCAGGCCTCAACAAGTGATTACGTTTTGGTTTCATTAATTTTCCATTAGGTCAGAGTACCTTCATACGATTGGGTGGGATTTTCTCTCTATTGTATTTTGACTTGTTTTGTTTGTTAACTGCTGTTTTAACGCCGCAGTTCGCGTTGCGAATGTTTCACAAGAATGCTGGGTTGTGAACAAAACTTTCGCCCCAGGCGGGACTAGAACCCGCACCTCTCGCTTTCCGGGCAAGTGCGCTACCAGTTACGCTACCAGAGGCCTTTATTGTCCAACTCAGCTTTTCATGGTATACGTACCATAGCTTTCAGCACTCACACGTCTAACGTGTTGAGCCGGTTAGCCGATATCGGCAATGACCGCGAGGCTGAAAGCTTTAGCAATGAATTTTGACTTGTTTTGTTTGTTAACTGCTGTTTTAACGCCGCAGTTCGCGTTGCGAATGTTTCACAAGAATGCTGGGTTGTGAACAAAACTTTCGCCCCAGGCGGGACTAGAACCCGCACCTCTCGCTTTCCGGGCAAGTGCGCTACCAGTTACGCTACCGGGGCACCATTTCATTCCAACTCAGCTTTTCATGGTATACGTACCATAGCTTTCAGCACTCACACGTCTAACGTGTTGAGCCGGTTAGCCGATATCGGCAATGACCGCGAGGCTGAAAGCTTTAGCAATGAATTTTGACTTGTTTTGTTTGTTAACTGCTGTTTTAACGCCGCAGTTCGCGTTGCGAATGTTTCACAAGAATGCTGGGTTGTGAACAAAACTTTCGCCCCAGGCGGGACTCGAACCCGCACTTCTCGCTTTCCGGGCAAGTGCGCTCAGTTACGTAGGGGGACAGTTTATTCCAAGTCGTCTTCCATGGTATCGTCATAGTTTCAGATCCAAGTCTAAGTGTTTGAGCGGTTAGCGATAGTTCGCCGATTATGACCACCGCAGGCTGAAAGCTTTAGCAATGAATTTTGACTTGTTTTGTTTGTTAACTGCTGTTTTAACGCCGCAGTTCGCGTTGCGAATGTTTCACAAGAATGCTGGGTTGTGAACAAAACTTTCGCCCCAGGCGGGACTAGAACCCGCACCTCTCGCTTTCCGGGCAAGTGCGCTACCAGTTACGCTACCGGGGCACCATTTCATTCCAACTCAGCTTTTCATGGTATACGTACCATAGCTTTCAGCACTCACACGTCTAACGTGTTGAGCCTGGTAGCGATACCATGAAAAGCTGAGTTGGATGAAATGGTGCCCCGGTAGCGTAACTGGTAGCGCACTTGCCCGGAAAGCGAGAGGTGCGGGTTCTAGTCCCGCCTGGGGCGAAAGTTTTGTTCACAACCCAGCATTCTTGTGAAAACTCTCATAGTGTTTTTTTTTGTATGGCGATCGCATGGATAAGCAGTTATCTAATAATGAATGGTCTAGACATATTTAAAAAAGAATAGTAGTGCCACACAACGCGTTGGATGTCTTTGAGTTGTATGTGTCGCGGACACTTTGTGTGGGTCGATGGTATGAGCCTAAAAAAAGCTTTTCGCAATATACTGAGATTTGTTTCAGAAGTTGACATAAAATCTCTTCGCGATGCGATTGACAAGATAGCTTTGTTGTTTTTCTGGACGAGCGTTTGAGCGTGACACTGTCAGAAGTGATCGTAATGCTGGAGTACGCTCAAAGGAATCCATCGCGGCTTGTAGGAGTTCATGGGATTGAATACGACGTTAGTTGCAGTATTACTTGTTGACGTTACGCATAAGTTTTTTAAAGTATCATATTCAGTGGCAGAAAGGCCAAATCACAGTGGGACGAGTCTACATGTGTATTTTTCACTTGTGGTATTTAGCAGGTAACTTTTTCACTCAGTGCTTATAAATGTGCTGTTTTCATGCTGCTTTTCCACTTTGAGTCACAATCGAAATACTCAAGATTCGCGCATGATCCACTTCCTACTCGTGTTCCTGTGTCTTCTTCTTTTCGAGCCTTCAGTCTGTGCTGATTAGCGTTTTCTTGCAGGTGGAGTTTTCAGTAACGGGCAGGAGCGTCAATCGTTTGTAAAAATGCTGTGTAAATCAGGGATTACTATGGGGCTTTTTAATAACTCCTTTTGATGAAAATCAAGTGTGTGATGGAAGTACCTCGATAAGATTCGCAGGGGCTGGTTATGATGTGGGAAGGGCTTTCTCTGATAAATGCCAAACGTCGGCCATACTCTGGCGATTTACTGCCTAACACGTTTTGCATCGTGATCTAGCAGCTTATTTGTGTGGACCCCATTAAACAGGAGCAATTAACTGTGGTAAACTTGTAGCTTGAAAAGTGGTAGTATTTGGCAGCGAGTACCTGAGTGAGGATATTTCTCCTATTCCTTCGGTTCTCTGGAGTGATTGCTTGCCTGCTGTGCTCAATGTCGTGATTACTGAACGATCTATGTTACCACCTATAGTTATTGGTGAGCGGGGATCGGAATCCTGGATGAGGAGTTTGAAGCTGGTGAGCAGATGGCCTGTCAAAGGTATCGATTTCTCTTTCAGATTGGGAATAAGCGCATGCATGAGACTATTGGGTTCGTGTTCTTGATGGAATAGAATTCCTTTTCAATTGCGTGGCTAATGTAACTGGTTGGTATGTGGAACACAAGGTGGTTATGTTGACAGGAAAGGCGTTTGAAAGTGGCGGACCGAGACAAGAGGGTTGGACTCGCGGAAGTTAGACGCAAATGATTGTTAGTGCCAAACATATGTAAGAACGTAAAGACGGGAGAAGGAAAAAAAAACAGGAAATGATAAGGAATTCACAGAACGGAAGAGGGTTGATGGTGAGTGGTGTTGTTCCAAGTGGCGCCGCTTACCATGCAACATGCATGGTTCGAAGATCAAAAACTGGGCAGTACGCCGTCCAGATACCAGGCCTTCGTATATTCTCCTGTAGTTCAGTTGACGTTGATGGCAGCGGCTAGGACTCGTAATCCGTCTTGGACAGCTGAGCGCCTTCATAACGCCACCTCCAATTTGAGGGAGCATGTAGAATCCCTTCAAAGAGGACGACAACTTCATATTGAAATTAGATTGGTCTATCATAAAGGTTAGTGACAAGTTTGTTGGTCAAGATAGGAATTTATTGTATTTGATGATGCAACTATGAAGTTTTACTTTTTTCAGCTGTGCTGACCTGGAAGGGATGGCTGCCATCTGGATCTTTCCTTGACTTACTGATTCTTTTAAGGTATATGATTTTTCGTGGAAGTTTCAGATGTACAAAACATATATGCTCAGATCGTACGGGCCAGTGTCTGTCTATTATAAGTTTATGCGCCTGTTATGGATGTTGTGAAGTGTCTCGAGAACACCTTTGTCTGTCTACGAAAATTTTAACTTTCGGTGGAAATTCACGAGAAGTACAAGCTATCAAGACGCTAGCGGAGCCCCCCCCCAATTTGGAGTGGCATGTATCGAAATGAGTGATAATGTGAGGCACCTGATATATAAACTTCAAGTATGAAAACAGCTAGAGACTTTGGAAAAAGTGGGGTAGAAGTGTACACTGGTGAGCCAGATCGAATTAGGACGACTTACCTTTGGTGGAAGGGGCGTCTCTGATAAGGCGGTGGTTAAGAATTTCATAACTCGGTGGGCGGGGTATGCACCATTACGGGCGGAGTTATCCACGAACCATTATAACTCGGTTCCATGAAGTCCTGGAAGCCGGGAAAAGTGGTGGAAAGTTCGGCAACAAAAGGAGCTCAGCAACTATAGGTGGGTGGGGCGTCCACTAGTGTGGATGGAGTTATCCATCGAAAGTATCCAAAGTAAAGGAAGGAGTTTCCACGAAATTCGGTTCCAAGAAGAAAGGGGAGATCGGGAGAAAATGGAAAGAGTCGACAACGGAATGCTCAACAGACAGGTGGGGAAGTACGCAGCGAGGTGGTGTCAGAAAGCGTTACAAAATTAGCGATGGTCCTGCTTTAATACCACTGCAGTGCCATGTGATGCACGCGAATGCGTGCGCGACCAAACTGGTATCATACTGTTATATGGTACAAGCTATCAAGACGCTAGCGGAGCCCCCACCAATTTGGAGTGGATGTATCGAAATGAGTGATATGCTGAGGCACCCATGATATATCAAACTTCAACGTATGAAACAGCTAGAGACTTTGGAAAAAGTGGGGTAGAAGTGTACACTGGTGAGCCAGATCGAATTAGGACGACTTACCTTTGGTGGAAGGGGCGTCTCTGATAAGGCGGTGGTTAAGAATTTCATAACTCGGTGGGCGGGGTATGCACCATTACGGGCGGAGTTATCCACGACAACTCTATAACTCGGTTCCATGAAGTCCTGGAAGCCGGGAAAAGTGGTGAAAGTTCGGCAACAAAAGGAGGCTCAGCAACTATAGGTGGGTGGGGCGTCCACTAGTGTGGATGGAGTTATCCATCGAAAGTATCCAAAGTAAAGGAAGGAGTTTCCACGAAATTCGGTTCCAAGAAGAAAGGGGAGATCGGGAGAAAATGGAAAGAGTCGACAACGGAATGCTCAACAGACAGGTGGGGAAGTACGCAGCGAGGTGGTGTCAGAAAGCGTTACAAAATTAGCGATGGTCCTGCTTTAATACCACTGCAGTGCCATGTGATGCACGCGAATGCGTGCGCGACCAAACTGGTATCATACTGGTATCATACACTGTATATTTTTTCCAACTGGTTTTTTGAGCACTGCCCATTGATGTTTACCACTTTCGTTCCTTTGACAATTAGTTTTCTATTTGATCCAAACATCATTGGTCTTCGTACTCTCTGCCTTGCGTCCTATTTACTATAAGCAATGTGATAGGTCCTTTGCTACATTTCCTTTGAATTGAAAATGTTTTATTTGTGGAAATAGTGTTTGTTATAGTTTTGAGTTTACTTCATCAAATTGGCTGTGCAATGAATTTTGCATCTTTCAAGCTGTTTTCGACGAAAGCAAGGACTGTGTAAACTAGTCCGTAAACAGAAATTCTGGTCGTCAGTCAGCCGACTGTGAGTGGCAACTCATTGATCGATTGGAATGAGATTTATGGTAATAATACTTGCCATTGTTGGTAGGTTTCATTAGTCACCTTTAGTAATGAATAGTTTGTGAAGTACTGTTTATAGCAGCTGAGGGTAGAAGCCTAACAGAAGTTGTATGTGATTTGAATCCACGACATTGCAATTTACACAAAACAAGTTCAAGGACACCAGTTCCAGTCAGGTGGCTGGAGCTCTCAATTATTTTAGTAATTCGTTCACACATTCATTTTCATAGTTTTCATTTATGCTATTTGAGACGATACCTACTAAAAGGCAATAAGATGGCAGCGCCGAGTGCAAGTGAATTTGCCAGATGGCAGAACTATGAAAGAGGAGAGGCAGGCACGGGACTCATCCCTGATTCGGGACCCGGCTGGGGACCAGGTAAGAACATCGCATTATTCCGAAGCACTTGAGTATAAACATATCGCAGGTCTTGGAGACGTGAACATTGCGACTGGTTTGGGTGTAGAAACGCCCGTGGGCGGTCTTGGCATTCGTCGTGATTTCGATCTCGGTTTCGGAGGGTCTGGCCGAAGTGGTGGACGGAGTATCGGTTTCGGTAATGGACATCAGAGGCAAATTGGTTCAGCTCCGTGGGCATGGCCCTAATAATGTGTCATTATGTACGATGAGTTTGTTTGTAGAATGAAATAGTTGCAAAATATAAAGATTGCAAGATTGTTCTATTTATTTTAATGATTTTTAGTCCAGCACCTATCTGTGCAAATCAATCGTGGAGTAGTCTAGTAACTCGAATCGTATAGTTCCAGGGAGAGATTGATATTGATGTTGCATGAAAATGCGATGAATGAAGCCCTTTCTTTGCCGGTTGGTTTCCGCATCAATGAGACATCGCTGCGCCCTCTTCAACGCCAATGCTCTCTCTCTTTCTCTGTAAGGCGGGTCAAGTCAGATGGCGAGGGAGGGTACGGACAGCAGGTATGACCCTTCGGTTATCGGAAGCATCCTATTCGCTGCGTAACGCGCATCTCCCTGCACCAGGCCCATCAGCCCCTCGACTGGTATATTTATCCTTTTTCGACCTCAGATCTTATCGTAAAATCCTCCTTAAAACGGAATCCACGTTTATTATAACCAGTTTCCGTATGCTTCGTAGTACAAACAGTTGTGTGTAAGCTCATTTGAATCTTTGCGAAGCAGCGATAAATTTCAGTGCTATTCTGAGCTAAAACCTGATTCCAAGAAACTACAGTTTGATTTCAAATAATTTTCCAGAACTGGAGTAGGACCACACAGAGGACCACATACACCGCTTTTATTTTCGCTACAACCATTTTGATCACAGAAGACCAATTTTAAAAAACTGGATTTAACTTAGAAGTGGTGGCGTATTATCACAAAGTCATATTAATACTACAAAATTGGGCAAAACTGCACTGTGCTTTCTGTAACTTTTGGTATACATTCAGCGAAACTCCTTTGGAAAAACGAAAACAGGATAATGCATCACAAGAAAGAGAAGGCCAGACGGAATTGTTCCAAACATGAGTAATAGTGCACATATTTTCGAAGAATAACAATGCATAGAAATCAATAAGTTAATTTTTTACGAAACCAGAAGAAAGTTGTAATGAAAAGAGAACCAGCTTTGTGAAACTATTCAATAGTTGAAGTTGTAGTATTAGCTAAACTGGAACATTACTGAACAATCAGAATAGGTATTATTACTGTAGCACCGGTTAGACCTAAGAACCACGCGCATGGGCAAAAAGCACTACTGAGATGAATGATATTCGTTCCATGAAAATATACAAACAGATAAGAAAGATGTTCACAGCATCAATTTAGAAATCGGATTGAATTCAAAACTGGAAACTGAATCAGATCAATCATAAACTTTGAAATTTTACAAGATTACGTTAGAGCGCTGTAGAGATGACTGATGACACTCCATGAACCATCAGCGTCGGTGGAAGTGAGTCCGTTAAACGGCGAATTTGATCCAGATACCTATCAAATCGGATTTGTTGTAATTTGACTATCTCGCATGATTTCAATCTATCACCCTAATGGGCCAATTCAAGGCGAAAAAAGATAATGAATCTGATCGCTAACCTATCAGCATTTGGAATCACATCATCCGGAGGTAATGGGAGATTCAAAAGTGTTATTGCCGCCTCCTCGCTGTAGCGCTTGATCATGTCGTTGAATGCGGTAAGGTATGATGCTGGTAGCTCAACCGTGGGCCTGAACTTGCTCAAATATAGCAAATTTTGAACCAAAGCGACAATAAACATCGGTTCACGTAGCTTTGCCTAGTTATGCTAAGGCTAGCGTAACCGCTTCTTTACTTAGAGGAAGAAAACGTACCGTTGGGTTGTTATTGCAGGTCCGTTTTGTTGTGGAAAATGACAAACTACATGATCCCACGGCACAACAATTGATTCTGCTTTGATACGCAAAGTGTCCAGCATTTGTTTCAGCTGCCGATCTCGACGATGCATATCCTGAATATGAATTTTGAACTCCTTACCCTCTCCCCTATCGAACTCTCTCCTTCATGACCATCCTACTTATCGTGTTTACTGATGAAAAAATAGACAATTGTTTCGAGAACAAAACAAGAGAATAAAATTAATAAGCGCAGTCATTTCACGACATGATGGAATACTATTCTAAGATCCTAAGAGCTTTTGAAGAAAGGTGCTGAAGAATATAGTCACCTGCAAACTGTTGACGCATATAAACACTCGTAGGCGTGCGTGAGACCGCCACCGTGATGACATTGAAAGGATACACGCTAACTGTAGCAAAAACAAGGAACTGAAAATAATGATTAGCAAACCGTACTCGTTTACGAAAGAAATATATCAAACCTGTTGTCCCAACCCAGCCCTGTTTCAACGGGCCTCTGGAGGTCGACGGGCCACACGTCGATGTAACGTTTCTGGTTCCAATTTTGAGAAAGTGATTCCTGAAAAAAGAACAATCACCAACCATCAGTAGAATGTGCACATTAGATATCTGAAACGACAGTACAAAGAAAGTATTTTTTGTTGTTGTCTGAACCAGATTAACATCAGCGAAAGAATTGTGAATGCTAGCGTTACTACATACGTACTGCTCCCCATGCATTTGTAAGTTCCACTCATTATCCATCCCTTTCAAATTTAAAGGAGAATTACACGATCAGGTCGAAGATCGAAGAAGTGGGAACATAGTAGAAAGACAGGCGGATACCATAAGGGTGCGGACCAACACGCAATTGGCAGCGATGACAAAAGAGAGAGCATAGCGTTGACACGGAAGTCAGCATTGGCAAGACTATATGCAACTGACATGCTAACGCGTAATCAATAGGCAAAACGGGTGTATTTTCTATTTAGGTTGTTTTTCGTATTTCCTTCATCATTACTGACCACCTCTACCTTGGTTTCAGCAAGCTCTCTTCTTATCCCGGTAACTTCCACTCTAAATTCCCCCCATGCATCAAACTTCAATTACTCATCAGAATAATGTTCAGAAATGTTCTTAGAAAATGACTTAAGAAGACCAGCCATAAGTAGCTCAGAGTTTGATTTTCACTCATGAGTCCACGCTGAAGCGAAAACGAATTCACCCGAGTCCTTCGAGGGGAGCCAGGTCAACTTTTCGGGCCGCATTGGGTGGAATCAGCTGTGTGCTCAGAA